TGCGGCTGGGCCAGGGTTGGGGTTTCGGACTGGGTCTGGGGTTGGGGCTGCGGCTGGGCCAGGGTTGGGGCTTTGGGCTGGGGCTGGGCCAGGGTTGGAGCTTCGGGCTGGGGCTGGGCCAGATTTGGGGCTTCGGGCTGGGGCTGGGCCAGGGTTGGGGCTTCGGGCTGGGGCTGGGGTTGGGGCTGCGGTTGGGCCAGGGCTGGGGCTTCGGGCTGGGGCTGGGCCAGGGTTGGGGCTGCGGCTGGGCCAGGGTTGGGGCTTCGGACTGGGTCTGGGGTTGGGGCTGCGGTTGGGCCAGGGCTGGGGCTTCGGGCTGGGGCTGGGCCAGGGTTGGGGCTTCAGGCTGGGGCTAGGGTTGAAGCTGGGGTTGGGGCCGGGTACTAAAGGAGGGTATAGACCCTGCAGTGGGTTGAGACCAGATCATTATGAGATTTGTTTTAAAGAGGGATGGTTAACCACATAACGGCCCTGCTGACAGAGAGCTGAATGGCCTCCTGGGTTTGGGGAGGCCAAACGAGGAACAGGGGCGGCTGGGTGATAAATCACAAACACTGCAGGAGGAGACCACAGGGTCAGCCTTCCTTTAGCAGGCCTGCCATAGAAAACATTAGGCTACACAACACACACACACACACAGACACACAGACACACACACACACACACATCCCGCCACAAACTTACAGTAATTTCATTAGCAGACATCCTGTTTCCAGCACCTCAGCTTGTGTTTGACATAACGTCCATTAGATTTCACTGAGACTATCCAGGTTTACAGTAATGTGCTGAAAGACACTTCAGCTATGTTTCCAAACAAAATGACTGGGAAGGGCTTTTCCTAATCACTAATCCTCCTATTTCTTACAGTGACACTCTGTCAGTGCCATGGAACCATCACACTATAAACAGATAGCCCTGTCTGTCCATCTGTCTGTGGGAAAAACTGCACCTGGTGAAGGACAAGGCATAGATTTTTTTAAAGCATAATAATTATTTAGTGGACTGTAATTCAAAACTCCATGCATAGCTTTCATCACAAGGATGACCTCTTTGATTACTATAATTATACAGATTAGAGAAATGTTTGTAATGTTTATGTAACATGCTCATATATGGTGTTTCCTCTATAGACCCATAGAGTTTTCCAGAGCCAAGATCTGATGAAGCGACATGGCTATATAAAAATAATGGTATAAGATGTATCATTTGTTCAGCTAGGTCAAAGCTTTCATATCGAAATCAGATACTTTCATATCTACTTGTTTATCCCCAAAGCTACAATGGTGGCAGACTGTCAAAGACCAAAGCAGTCACATATTGAGCTTCACAACCTTAAGTTCAACTTCACACACTGTTTGCCTGACACCAGATCCAGTTCCATCCTTACCATTCCTTATTTATTTATTTCAGACAGACATACAGACAGACACGTACCAACAGACAAAGCCAAGACAAACAGGAACTCTTGGATTGTTGTAAAAAAATATATATATCTCCATCACTCCATCTTTTCCCCCTCTCTCTGGATGGTAACTGGTGGTTGGGCTCTGAAATGTTTCCACCAAACAGAGAAGTCTCTGTCGGGGCTTAAAGGGGATAAAATCTCAAATAACGGACTCTGCGGCTCATTTAGGCTCAGAATCCAGCGTCTTCAAAACAAAATGTGGACATGTAGTGTGGACATGTCCAATGATAATAGCAGAAAATAAGAACCACATTTGTAAAGAAGATCTCCTCCAATTATGCAGACGTCTTGAATTTGTATGGAAACATTGTGACATTGTCAAACAAATGGAGACTTGCATAGTACTGAGAAAACCAGAGACACACAACTGTCTCTGTGTCTTCAATCGAGAGCGACCTGTAACTATGGTAATCTAATTTATGTATTATCTCTCTGTGTACAATGTATTTGTTCTGTTGTCTCTAGCCTCCCCTTCAACTTCTCTTACTAATTTGTGTTTCAGTGCTTTTACACATGATGTTGGTACCTGGAGGGCCTTGATGTAAACAAAGTGTGCCATTGTTATAATTTAGATAAGCCATCTACCATTAAAGTTACAGTAATGTTTCGCCAACTAAATGATAATGCTCTTTAACCACTAATTGAGCAGGGATCATGTTTTACATATCTGGAGCGGGTTGTTGTTATGATATGGTCTGTGAACACTGTGAGTGGTGTCAAAGCACAGCCTGCATCACCACAGTGTTATCTGCCCACTGTCTATCTTTCTGTACTCACATGCCTGTCAACCAGCCATGCCTCATTTAGACCCTGGAGATACATGATCAACTGCAAACTAACCACTGATACCAGTTATGACATGCCCAGTTGCCCACAATGCATCTAACACAAACACAATCCTCAGAGGTTTCACAATATAACCCGGGTGAACTGAAATGGCTGCACTTTTAGAATCATGATAGGAGAGTGAGAGAGAGCAGTGAGAGTGGGAGCAGTAGGCCATGTGAAGGACCTTTTATGGACTCGACACGCCACTCATTGACAGAGCAGAAATTCAATTCAGCTGGACAGCGGGCTCTGTATCGTGGCGTGTGCCGAAATTACTCATGAAATAATATTTTGGCAGCTTCAATATGAAAACTGCAATTTCAAAATGTGACAATCATCGGCAAACGTTTCCAGTGAGTGAGTGGCCGTAATATTGGAGGCGATGTGATTTTCAATCATGGTCCTGTTCCTCGCCCCAGTAGGTTGTTCTGTGCTCAGCCCTCACTCATAAATCAAGTGGGCGACCTGCTGTGCGTGCTGCTGCTGAGTTTTTAACCTCCCGCAGTGTAATGTGTGTTTTAACCCTCTGTGGTTCTTCCCTCTCACCCACATCACTAAAACAAACCCTGTGTATACCTGAACAGGCGGTCCAGCCTCCAACAAACTCCACTCCACTCACAGTGGTCAGGACCTGAACTTCATGGCTGGCCTGCTGGCTCAGCCCTCTCTACCTCTCTACAGCACTGCATTGAGGTGATGTGTGTCCATCAGGTATCAGGTAATGAATGGAGCTGGGCTCTGCTACCCACAGGAGCCTGGTGGGGCGTTAACGGTCACTCCATGCCTGCTGCCTGGTTCTGGTCTGGGTCTGGTCTGGGTCTGACTCCACTAGGGACGAGGTTGAACATACCTGCGAGATCAGCAACAATTAATCTTCTATGAGGAGGGCAAGAGGCCTGGTGGGGACTAGGGGCTGTCAGTATTATTGTTATTGATGTGCTAGGCTGGAGCCACAAGGGACTGAGCTATAGAGCTGAACTCAGCTCTCTACCGGGTTGAGGAAGGATATAGTATCCTTACCTAACACATACAGTATTAGAGTACACCTGCTGAGTCTTGTAGATACAGTGCAGTGCCAGTAGATGAGAGGCATACTATATATATAAACATACACACATGCACTCATATGCACACACACACACACACACACACACACACACACACACGCACGCACGCACGCACGCACACACACACACACACACACACACACACACACACACACACACACACACACACACACACACACACACACACACACACACACACACACACACACACACACATGGCCAAAGAGACACAGTCACAACATCCTCCCAGCAGTACAAACATGGATCCTGGCGGCACAATAAAAATAGAAAAATGAAAGTTGTATTTTCTTTTCTTAGGCGTACAGTAGATTACAGTATAAACCTTGACACATGTTTGGGATCAGCTGAAGAAGCAGAAAATTACTTCTACTCTTTTCCTGGAAGGCCTCTCTGTTCTGTGTGTGTGTGTATGTTACAGTTCACTCATAAAGGCCTGGCTGTTTCATGTGTTTCTGCTCTGTTTGGGAGAGGGGGAGCTGAGGCGGCTTCCTGACAGGCCCCGCTGACAGCACTTCTGCTCTAAGTCAAGCAGGAGAACAAGTCAAGTGTGAGTGAGGAGAGGCTGTAGAGATGCCCAGAGAGGCGTGCAGTCTGGACAAGGAAGCCGGCTGACTACACACACGTGGAGGGGTTGGGGAGACAGGGCCAGGTTCAGCTTCACTGAGCAGACCTTTCCTCTTTTCCGCCATCTTTCATCCTCTCTTTCAGTCCATCAGTGGCTTTAGTTATGTCACTCGGGGGATTTACTACCATGACAAATGGACCACAGAGTCTGTGTCACTCTGAGCCCCTCGCTTTGATCAAGGAACGGAAAACAAGACAAGAGAGGGATTTTGAAAAATAAAAGAGGGAAGACCATCAAAATAATGATGGAAAGGAAACAGAGAAGTCGCTCTGCATTACCACAACAACATGACATACATAGACAAGGGCCTTTCAAATATATTTCCCTAGAAACATCTCAGTTGGTCTCTCTCCCACGGCCTCACGCTCCATCCTGGCATTTCTCTAGACCTTATTAATCACTGAGATCTGAGGACCGTTATCTGTGAAGCCTCCATACTGCGCTCGCTATCAGTCAAGGCGTCAGAGTTTAAAAGTTTGCCCTTTTGCGCCTATATCTGGGTGGGTTGTGAGAGTTAGTTGGGTATAGGGTTACAGGCTGGAGGCATGTTGCTCCCAGCACTGCAGTCCAGGAAGACCCAGCGGCATACAGTGTAGGCTATGTTGGACAGGCAGCACTCAAGGATAGATGTCTTGATAGGATCTGACGAATACCAGACCTCCTCCAAAATCTTATAATGTAATGACTGTGAACTACTGAAAGCCTCAACTAGGAGGTGTTCAGCAGCTGACAACAAAGAGTTGGTTCTGGTCAAGGTTGACATACAGGTGTGATTGATATAAATGATGGGTAAACATTATTGGGTGTTAATTCAATAATAATGAATAAAGAGTATTCAGAACAGACACACAACCACCCACGAATAAAGTAATATTCTGAATGATGTTATAAGGCACAGCAGCAGAACACAGTCCCACCCCAGAGTTGGTGAGTCAGTCTGAGATGTTCTAGACAAATACTAAATAAACTGTAGATGAACGCAGGATAAACAGGGTTAAGGTTTCACCCCTGATGAAAACACTAGCAGCCACACACAGCTTTCTGCGGCTCCAACACAGGTCTGGCTTTGTTTCTCTGGGCAGAGCACTGGATTCATGGCCGCTGTCCCTGGTCAGCTCACAGACAGAAGGAATAGGTAGAGCACAAAACCAGCACCGTACAACATGGGACGACCAGCTATATCTGAGTATCGTCTCCAAAAAACAAGCCCATATTTGAGCCCACAGAATCTAAGGTCATAAATAACTAAATTAAATGGCAATCTTCAAAGTAAGGTCATGTCCAGATCTCTATTCAATACAGTCTGAAGACTGATTCTAAAGAAAGACTGATCCTAAAACCAGCATGCAGTGGTGTCTGTGGACCAGTAGGACCCGGGTTGTTCTTGAATTATGATGGCATTTGGGGAAAAATGTACTTCATGTTCCTATAAAAATATATATATTTAAATATATTTGGGTACATCTCCCCATTCTACATCAACTACTATGGTAGCTTAATGACTTTAAATACTTTTTTACCATTATAATAACATTGTGCCACCAGTAGGTATGGTACATTTTCTGATATGGAGGCCACAAATGCTCAAATCTAAGGTCATAAATCCTTTTTAAATAAGTTACTAAAGTGATACAGTATGATTAATAATTTTGCTCACAATGTTATTTCCCTTCATTTAAATTGACTAACACCAAGTGACACTTTGGATTTAGACACATCAAATTACTGTATCAATGGAATCCTCAAATTGATGACATACTAAACGGGTCTGATTGGCTAATAATTGTCCTTAATATACTGTAGACCCCTCCCCGGATAACAGTTTGCCACTTTTGTATTTGTATTTATTAGGGATCCCCATTAGCCAAGGCAGCAGCTACACTTCCTAGGGTCCAAACACATTAAGGCACTTACATTACATATAAAACAAAAGATAAAACAGTACATCATATAACATTATTACACCACTACATATCTACAATACAAAATGTATAATACCACCATTCAACAATATTACAATGTACATGTGTGTAGAGTGCGTGTGCTAGCGTTTGTGTGCGTATGCGTGTCTGTCCATTTGTGTGTGTCTCTTCACAGTCCCCGCTGTTACATAGGTGTATTTTTATCTGTTTTTTAAATCTGATTCTACTGCTAATGTGGCGTAGAGTTCCATGTAGTCATGGCTCTATGTAGTACTGTGCGCCTCCCATAGTCTGTTCTGGACTTGGGGATTGTGAAGAGACCTCTGGTGGCATGTCTTGTGGGGTATGCATGGGTGTCCGAGCTGTGTGCTAGTAGTTTAAACAGACAGCTCGGTGCATTCAGCTTGTCAACACTTCTTACACAAGTGGTGATGAAGTCAATCTCTCCTCCACTTTGAGCCATGAGAGAGTGACATGCATATCATTAATGTTAGCTCCCCGTGTACATTTAAGGGCCAGCCGTGCTGCCCTGTTCTGAGCCAATTGTAATTTTCCTAAGTCTTTGTGGCACCTGACCACATGACTGAACAGTAGTCCAGGTGCGACAAAACTAGGGCCTATAGGACCTGACTTGTTGATAGTGTTGTTAAGAAGGCAGAGCAGCACTTTATTATTACATTCACATTTTAGTCATTTAGCAGACACTCTTATCCAGAGCAACTTACAGTCAGTGAGTGCATACATTTTTCATACTGGCCCCTCGTGGGAATCAAACCCACAACCCTGGCGTTGCAAACACCATGCTCTACCAACTGAGCTACACGGGGCCTCTGTTGTATCAATATGTTTTGACCATGACAGTTTAAAATCCAGTGTTATTCCAAGCAGTTTAGTAACCTCAACTTGCTCAATTTCCACATTATTCATTACAATATTCATTTGAGGTTTAGGGTTTAGTGAATGATTTGTCCCAAATACAATGGTTTTAGTTTGATGTATTTAGGACTAACTTATTCCTTGCCACATCCTGAAATTAACTGCAGCTCTTTGTTAAGTGTTGCTGTCATTTCAGTCGCTGTAGTAGCTGACGTGTATAGTGTTGAGTCATTCGCATACATAGACACACTTTACTCAAAGCCAGTGGCATGTCGTTAGTAAAGACTGAAAAAAGTAAGGGGCCTAGACAGCTGCCCTGGGGAATTCCTGATTCTACCTGGATTCTGTTGGAGAGGCTTCCATTAAAGAACACCCTCTGTGTTCTGTTGGACTCTTTATCCACAATATAGCAGGAGGTGTAAAGCCATAACACAAGTTTTTACAGCAGCAGACTATGATCGATAATGTCAAAAGCTGCACTTAAGTCTAACAAAACAGCCCCCAAAATCTTTTTATCATCAATTTCTCTCAGCCAATCATCAGTCATTTGTGTATGTGCTGTGCTTGTTGAATGTCCTTCCCTATAAGCATGCTGAAAGTCTGTTGTCAATTTGTTTACTCTAAAATAGCATTGTATCTTGTCAAACACATTTCTTTCAAAAGTTTACTAAGGGTTGGTAATAGGCTGATTGGTCGGCTATTTGAGCCAGTAAAGGGGGCTTTACTATTCTTAGGTATCAGAATGACTTTAGCTTCCCTCCAGGCCTGAGGGCACTCAGTTTCTAGTAGGCTTACATTGAAGAAATGGCAAATAGGATTGGCAATATTTTCCGCTATTATCCTCAATAATTTTCCATCCAAGTTGTCAGACCCCGGTGGCTTGTCATTGTTGATAGATAACAATAATTATTTCACCTCTTCCACACTCACTTTACAGAATTAAAAAGTACAATGCTTGTCTTTCATAACTTGGTCATATATACTTGGATATGTAGTGTCAGCGTTTGTTGCTGGCATGTCATGCCTAAGTTTGCTAATCTTGCCAATGAAAAAATTATTAAAGTAGTTAGCAATATCAGTGAGTTTTGTGATGAATGAGCCATCGGATTCAATGAATGATGGAGCTGAGTTTAACTTTTGCCCAAAATGTCATTTAAGGTGCTCCAAAGCTTTTTACTATCATTCTTTATATAATTTATCTTTGTTTTATAGTATAGTTTCTTCTTCTTTTTATTTAGTTTAGTCACATGATTTCTCAATTTGCAGTACATTTGTCAATCGGTTGTGCTGCCAGAATTATTTGCCATACCTTTTGCCTCATCCCTCTTATCCATACCATTTTTCAATTCCTAATACATTCAAGGGGATTTAACAGTTTTTACAGTCATTTTCTTAATGGGTGCATGCTTATTAGTAACTGGAATAAGCAATTTCATAAATGTGTCAAGTGCAGCATCTGGTTGCTCCTCATTACACACCACAGACATTATCAAGCATTTCACACATATTATCCAGATACTGACTGTTAGCACTTGGTGGTCTATAGCAGCTTCCCACAAGAATGGGCAGATGAACCTGTAGCCATATTACATCAACAGTATTTAACATGAGATCCTCTCTAAGCTTTACAGAAATGTGGTTCTGAATATAGACTGCAACACCGCCCCCATTGGCATTTCTGTATTTTCTGTAGATGTTATAACCATGTATTGCTACCACTGTATCATCAAAGGTATTGTCTAAGTGAGTTTCAGAGATAGTCAGAATATGAATGTAATCTGTTACTAGCAAGTTATTGACTTCATGAACCTTGTTTCTTAGGCTACATATGTTAATATGGGCTATTTTTAGCACTTTCTGGGATTCTTGATTGTTTTTAATGCTTTACTGGGAAGCTTATCAGTAGTAGACTTGCTCATGTTATTTATTTTGGAGCTTATTGTGCAGCTCACTCTGCACTCAGTGGACTTCCTACTAGGGCACATCGCCTCATTGCAAACAGTATAACTCTGGTTCATAGGCACATGATTACTGCATACAGTAGCTGTAGGATCATCAGAGGCATTCAGGGCAGTTTGGGGGACATAAATTAAGTTACTTACATTATGTCTGCCAACACCCCTGGGATAATGTACATTTGCTGCAGCATTATGACAACTCAGCGACACAATGGTAGGGATTAACTGAGCTGGTCTTGGGTCATTGATAAGTCATTGTCTTAACGCAGCCTTGAAACGTGTGGACAGAGTCCAGGAGCCAAGATGATTTGGATGGACTCTGTCATTCCTGTAGAACATCTTCTGTTTCCAGGAAGTGTCGAAGTTATCTATAAAAGTGATTCCAACAGAGCTACTGTAATCTTTTAGCCAGGTGTGTAATGTCAGTAGCCTGCTGAATCTTTCACACCCGCGGCCCAACGATGGTACTGGACCTGAAATGATTGGCCGCTTTTTGGAATCTTTCAGTGCTAGAATCAGTCCTTTAAAATCTATTTTCAGAAGTTACGAGCAAGCCCTCCTGATGTTGTTTGACCCTTGTTGTAGAACGGTCAGAAGCGGCCTTATAATGTCCCGTACTCGTGCTCCAGGATAGCACAGGGTTTTTGCCCAAGGAACCAAGATGTTTGTTACAATAGAGCTGCCGATGACAACAGCTGATGCAATGGCTGAGGAGGTCCGTTCTTTCGCCTCGAGTGGTTTCGCAAAAGGGCGGTGGGGGCCCGATCGACCTGAGCCAGCTGTAGTATGATGACTGGGCCGGACTCTCAGGCAGCCTCACGGTCTGATGAGGGTGGGAGCTCTGAGGATCTGAACCTGAGTTAGAAGCCACCGGAGAGGGAGACATAACAGAGGACAAAGGCGCAGGTATCTCTGGAGCCGATCTCGAATCGGAAGCCCCCAAGGAAGAAGGCACCGGAACCTCTGGATCCAGGGTGGCGAAGCCGTTTCTGGTCTCTGTCCGGTCCGGGCTTACCATCTCCAAGGAGGCCCCCGTTGCAAGAGGACGCTGTATTCGACTTCCACGGCGAGTGACATATTTCCATGGCTGGTTGGTAGGGTCGAGAACAGGAACATCCCCCAAGTAATCCAGGAGCATCCTACTAGCTCTGTTCTACAGGGAAGGGGGAGACCCCTTCGGGGAGGGATCCCTGCAGAGTACCGGCCAGTCGGCTGTGGAGAGCCGTCAAGGTCCTTGTATATCGTTGTAATCAGTGATTTTCAAGGTGGCAACACCAATGACGTAAAACTGAGGGACACACATTATACTAGTAGAATAATAGGTATTTTAACAGCTGTCTTTGTTTTTATTGATCTATACATGTCACGCTCGTTGAGTACAGAATTGGACCAAGGTGCAGCATGGTATGCGTACATGTTCGTTTATTGAATAAACACCGAACAAAACAACAAAAGCAACGTAACGTGAAGTTCTAAAGGCTAACATCAAACAAGCCAAACACACAGAAACAAGATCCCACAACATAGGTAGGCAACATGGCTGCCTAAGTATGATCCCCAATCAGAGACAACGATCGACAGCTGCCTCTGATTGGGAACCACACCCGGCCAACATAGAAATACAAAACATAGATATTCAAATACATAGATATTCACACCCTGACCAAACCAACTAGCGAACTCTGTCAGGGCGTGACAATACAACATATGAAATACTTTTGTTCACTGTCTAGCATTCAAATAATAGATATACACTACCGTTCAAAAGTTTGGGGTCACTTAGAAATGTCCTTGTTTTCAATGAAAACATACATGAAATGAGTTTGAATAGGAAATATAGCAAAATGCATAGGAAATGTAGTCATTGACAAGGTTAGAAATAATGATTTTTAATTTAAATAATAATTGTGTCCTTCAAACATTGTTTTCGTCAAAGAATCCTCCATTTGCAGCAATTACAGCCTTGCAGACCGTTGGCATTCTAGTTGTCAATTTGTTGAGGTAATCTGAAGAGATTTCACCCCATGCTTCCTGAAGCACCTCCCACAAGTTGGATTGGCTTGATGGGCACTTCTTACGTAGCATACGGTCAAGCTGCTCCCACAACAGTTCAATAGGGTTGAGATCCGGTGACTGTGCTGGCCACTCCATTATAGACAGAATACCAGCTGACTGCTTCTTCCCTAAATATTTATTGCATAGTTTGGAGCTGTGCTTTGGGTCATTGTCCTGTTGTAGGAGGAAATTGGCTCCAATCAAGTGCCGTCCACAGGGTATGGCATGGCGTTGCAAAATGGAGTGATAGCCTTCCTTCTTCAAGATCCCTTTTACCCTGTACAAATCTCCCACTTTACCACCACCCAAGCACCCCCAGACCATCACATTGCCTCCACCATGCTTGACAGATGGCATCAAGCACTCCTCCAGCATCTTTTCATTTGGTCTGCGTCTCACAAATGTTCTTCTTTGTGATCCGAACACCTCAAACTTCGATTTGTCTGTCCATAACACTTTTTTCCAATCTTCCTCTGTCCAGTGTCTGTGTTCTTTTGCCCATCTTAATATTTTCTTTTTATTGGCCAGTCTGAGATAAGGCTTTTTCTTTGCAACTCTGCCTAGAAGGTCAGCATCCCAGAGTCGCCTCTTCACTGTTGATGTTGAGACTGGTGTTTGCGGGTACTATTTAATGAAGCTGCCAGTTGAGGACCTGTGAGGCGTCTGTTTCTCAAACTAGACACTCTAATGTATTTGTCCTCTTGCTCAGTTGTGCACCGGGGCCTCCTACTCCTCTTTCTATTCTGGTTAGAGCCAGTTTGTGCTGTTCTGTGAAGGGAGTAGTACACAGCGTTGTACAAGATCTTCAGTTTCTTAGCAATTTCTCGCATGGAATAGCCTTCATTTCTCAGAACAAGAATAGACTGACGAGTATCAGAAGAAAGTTCTTTGTTTCTGGCCATTTTGAGCCTGTAATCGAACCCACAATTGCTGATGCTCCAGATACTCAACTAGTCTCAAGAAGGCCAGTTTTCAGCTGTGCTAACATAATTGCAAAAGGGTTTTCTAATGATTAATTAGCCTTTTAAAATGATAAACTTGGATTAGCAAACACAACGTGCCATTGGAACTGTCACGATCGTCATTCATAGAGGAGGACCAAGGCGCAGCGTTGAATGCGAACATTTTATTTATTAGAATGATCACACGATCAAAACAACAAAACGAAAACGTGACGTCCCTGGTTACATAAACAAACCAACACGGAACAAGAAACCACAATGAAAGAGTGCCAAATGGCTACCTAAGTATGACTCCCAATCAGAGACAACGAGCTACAGCCGTCTCTGATTGGGAGCCACCCTGGCCAACATAGATCTACAAAACCAGAAAGTGAAACCTAGAACACACATAGACTATACACACCCTGGCTCAACATATTAGAGTCCCCAGAGCCAGGGCGTGACAGTACCCCCCCCTAAAGGCGCGGACTCCGACCGCGCCCACCAAACACCACAGGGGAGGGACCGGGTGGGCACTCCGCTTAGGCGGCGGATCCGGCTCCGGGCCTGATCCCCGCTCCCTCTCCAACCCCCCAAAGTACCCCTGGTCCGGTCTGGCCCCGCTGGCCGGAGCTGGACTGCACACTGGTGGAGCGGATTGCTCCAGCTCCGGCGCGAAGCATCTGACCGGTGCCGGACCAGCCACCGGTGGAACAGGCACGGGCCGTGCCGGACTGACGACGCACACCACTGGCTTGGTGTGGGGAGCAGGAGCGGGCCGAGCCGGACTGCCGAAGCGCACCACCGACTTGGTGCGGGGAGCAGGAACGGGCCGAGCCGGGCTGACGAAACGCACCACTGACTTGGTGCGGGGAGCAGGAACGGGCCGAGCCGGGCTGACGAAGCGCACCACTGACTTGGTGCGGGGAGCAGGAACGGGCCGAGCCGGGCTGACGAAGCGCACCACTGACTTGGTGCGGGGAGCAGGAACGGGCCGAGCCGGGCTGACGAAGCGCACCACTGACTTGGTGCGGGGAGCAGGAACGGGCCGAGCCGGGCTGACGAAGCGCACCACTGACTTGGGGCGGGGAGCAGGAACAGGCCGGACCGTACTGGGGACACACACCACTGGTCCTACGCAGGGATCTGGAATGGGCCGGACCGGACTGGTAACACACCCCAGTACCTCTCGCCGTGCCTCTACACCTTCCACCCCCTCTTCGACCAGTGGCCCCCGTAACCTGGCGGCCTCCTCTGCCAATCCGCTGGGCCGCTCTGCCGCGGTCTCCTGCTGGCCCGTCGTCCACGGCGTTAGCCCCCCCCTAAAAATTTTCTGGGCGTCTCTCCTACCCGTGGACCAGGTCTCCATGTCCCTCGCCAGCCTTTCGCCCTTCTGCCACAATGTCAAGCCCTTCTCCTCCTCACTCGGCTTGACCCAGTCGAGGAGGCGAAGGAGATCTGCTAGAGATCTCCCTGGCGATTGCTCCTGGACACGCTGCTTGGTCAAATCTTGGTGGTTTCTTCTGTCACGATCGTCTACCAGAGATGAGGACCAAGGCGCAGCGTTGAATGCGAACATTTTATTTATTAGAATGATCACACGATCAAAACAACAAAACGAAAACGTGACGTCCCTGGTTACATAAACAAACCAACACGGAACAAGAAACCACAATGAAAGAGTGCCAAACGGCTACCTAAGTATGACTCCCAATCAGAGACAACGAGCTACAGCCGTCTCTGATTGGGAGCCACCCTGGCCAACATAGATCTACAAAACCAGAAAGTGAAACCTAGAACACACATAGACTATACACACCCTGGCTCAACATATTAGAGTCCCCAGAGCCAGGGCGTGACAGGAACACAGGACTGATGGTTGCTGATAATGGGCCTCTGTACGCCTATGTAGATATTCCATAATAAATCAGCCGTTTCCAGTTACAATAGCCATTTACAACATTAACAATGTCTACACTGTATTTCTGATCAATTTGATGTCATTTTAATGGACAAAAAAATTGCTTTTCTTTCGAAAACAAGGACATTTCTAAGTGAACGGTAGTGTATATTTCTACATCCCCAAAACATGTCACTACACCTCTACATATCACCAGTGGGACAAGCCAATTTGCTAGCCACCAGTAGTTTTTATAATGCATACAAATAGATGTTTTGCTGTATAAAGGACATGTTTTCATATAAAATAACAGTTAAATAGAAACAAATATTGTTTGTCATGTTTTTCTCATTTTAAAGTGTTTTAACATGTTGCCAAAGTCAAGGGACAGCATTTACCAATGCAATTTAAGAATTACCCACCCGGTATGACATCATAGTGCAGGGTGTTTGTGTGTTTCTCTATGAGCCCTGAAGCAGGGACATGGCTAGAAGGGATCCAGCTTTTGTCAAATTAATGTCAGATTTGACTTTTTGTAGCAGGTTAGGAGAATTTAAGCAGCAGGTTAGGAAAATGTACGTAGCAGGTTAGGATAATTAGGTTAAGGTTATGAAAATAGTTATGGTTAGGGTTAGCTAAAAAGCAAAAGATTTCAACTTTTGACATTCATTTGACAAAAGCTGGATACCTTCTAGCCATGACGCTGAAGCAGTGGTTTGGCAGGTTGGTTTCACAACCACTCCAACCAGGATAAGCTGTCTGATGGACTAGAATAGCAAATGTGAATGGATTGTTGACTGGCAACAATGTCATACTTGTTATTTCCATAATATTTTGATATCCACAGCATCCTTTGTCTGGCTCTGAGCTCTACAGTGGCTGCTGTAAACCTACATTATGAGTGAAGACAGACCATCATTCTTCTTCTATGATTCTTTTACAATTCTAATGCAGATAGATTTACTTATCAGCAGGAGAAACTCCAGTCATTCCCATCTCCTCCTCTCATGCCCTCTCAGGGGTATGGAGTATGGATGGGAAGGCTAGCAGGGAGCTCCGAAAATACATCATACAATAACTCACATGGCCTGGAATCAATGGGAAGACACAATGCATCATGGGATTAGAGAATGAGTGAGTGTGCCAGCCAGTCAGTCCTTTGATATCAGTGCTCAATGTGCTTCAGAAG